AACTGTTAACTGGGCCCAGACTTTGGGCTTGGCCGCCCCCAACTTGCAACATTCCAACATGCCATGCGAAAGTCAAATCTAACTGCACGTTGCATGCCATCGGAAGACAAACTACCTCCTACCTATCTCAATCTCACATCCATAAAATAATGGCTAATCATAATGCAATTTTAGCCGGGCATAGCATAGGTATTAAATTGAGCTGCCTGCAGATTTAGATTTAGTAACGTGTCGAGCACTAATTGCTTGGGACACAACTTAGAGCCAATTTCGACCTGCGGTACTTTTATTAGGGCCCCGACAATTTGAGATGACCTGCAGAACACTGCTCTCAATTAAAACAGAATTAATTGGAAGCTGTGTAAGGGAAAAATGTTAGCAAATGAGGCGGGAATGGCTAAATAAGGAGAATATTTTGTAGCATTACTTATGCACATTTATAAGGGCTAAAGTATGTGCATTTGTTAGCTCATTTAAAGTCATGAAAAATTGTGTACAAGTTGGCAGTAACTAATAAATAAATAATAAATAAAATAAATTTTATTTAATTTAAAAAAGTATCAAATTACATTTAAAAGACAGTTTTATTTTTTTTTAATCCAGTTGACATCGTGGGAACATTACCACCTAAAATTCGTATTAACAGATGTTGGTCCAGATGTTAAGTAATTCTATTTTTCGCATATGCTAGCGATTTATTTATTTGAATAAATCAATTTGCGCAGTCGCATAGCCTTGGATCAAATGGTAGAGTAAACAGAAAATAGGAACAGTTGTGTGGAATGCGATCTGTGATGCAACCCTCGTTTCCTGACATATAGAACGCCCCCTAAGCAACTGGTTGAGATCCTTTTCCTCCCCTTTTCAAGATAATAACAGTTGGTCAGCCACACATACTATATTATAAAAGAGGATCTGCCTGATTGTATCTAGCCTTCTAATGAATTACGGCACACTTTTCAATTAGTTGCATGTTTATACAATAATTTTGATGATTCTCGAGAACTCATGGAGATATACACCCTCTGATAATTCAAGAGATACAAAAACCGTCAGCTGTTGAATTGTGAAGAGTTTTCGAAAGAGTCTGCGCAGGGTGCTAACTATTATGAAGCCACCCTGTGGTGGTGTTTAATTGTTCGGAAACGTTGTTGGAGGTACACTTCTTCACAGAAAAGAGTGTGTGTCTGGCACGGTGAACAACCAATTTCAACAATAGGTGTAGATTGAACCAGAAGTTGTGGTAATTGGATTATGGCATTCATTGCTGTGCAACTTCAGTTTTTATATCCGTGACGAAATAAATTGTTTTCTTAAAATGTTTTTAATAAATGTATAAGGTAAATAAAATATTTGTTTAAAATCAGTAGAAATTACAATTTATGGATATATTAATATGAAGGCATGTGAAAGAAATTGTTTAAAAATATATTTTTCTTCAGTGTCTATATTCATGAAAAAGTAAATTGTGATCTTAAAAGTATTTCACAAAGATATGTAAACTAAATAATTTGGAAAAAGTCCGTTACTGTTTTTTGATTTATAGTTATTAAGGCATAGGAAACAAATTGTTTAAAAATTGTATTGCTAAAGAACAAGATTTAATACATTACCCATTTAATTCTATAAGCCCACCTTTTTGAATACTCAATGAGTTTTAAAATGGCATGCAAGCTCGCAGTTAATCATGGAATGTAACTAAATTGGCGCCGCACTTTGTCAATGTGTCAAGGCAATCAGAAAAACATCTAAGAGCTGGACCCACAATTGGACAACTACAACTCGTTTGCCTACGCACAGAGCTCGAACCAGATTACAATTGCCAATGCAATTGCAATTTGAATGATTAGCAGGGAGGGCAAAAACAGAAATTACAAATATTTATATACATATCTGCAGCAGCTGCAGCAGTTTTTGTCGCACTTTTTCCGCTTAACTTGTCATTGTGGAAAAAAGAGTGTGCTTAGGTTTGGTTTTTTATTTAATTGCAGCCTCTGGGGAACAATGATGACGACGACGACGATGCTGGCACTCAAGTGCACACTTCCTGTCATTTACATTAACAAAGTATTTCTCTGCTAGTTTTTATTTTTTTTCACAACGCACTGAAAAAGCATGCGCCATTGTTCGATTCGTAACGGGGCCCCTGAATCGGAACGGGGTTATATAGTATAGTGGATCTGGAGTCTGGATCCGGAGACTATTGAGTCCCATTCGGGGTTCCTGCCAGTGCACACAGAGAAATTTCCACCACCTCGGATTTTTCTTCTTTTAAAATAAACTTTATTTTTGTTTTAGACCGATTGAAGACGTTAAAAGGGCTTAAGATATTTTTCTGTGATAGCTTATGACAACTTAAACAATTTAGTTCTGTTCACTTTATTGCATTTAAAGGTTAAATAAAATGTTTTTTTACCAAGTGCGGATTAAAGTAATATTTTTTACCAAACTTACAATTTGAATTGTTAATTTCTAGTTCTTAAATTACCAATATTTTTTGCTGTGTCATCGGTTGCGACTGCGCGTGACGCACGTGGTTCATCGGGGTTTGGTGGTGCGTAGGGGTTGGGACCTCTTTGATGGGGTTGTTTTCAACCCGCAGCATTTCCACTTTAGATGGTTTATTTGCCTCGCCGGCATTGTGCCCCTCGCTTGTGCCTGCCACACGCATTCTTGACCCGAAAACCAAGACACAAAGCCAGCTGCAGCTGCAACTGCACCAGCAGCAGCGATTCCTTGGCCAAAAGATCAAGGCTGACACTGTCACTGCCACTGCCAGCAGTGGCGTGTCAAATGGCCAAACCAGCTGTTACAATCCCACTAAATCAAAGTGATTCGGCTGGCAAACAATTGAAAATGAGAACCTGATCCTAGAGCCATTGTATTTCGGACGACATATGTGCAGCTTCACAGTTGACTTGAAGGCAATTAGCAGGACTCTCCTCAGCACCCTCAACATCCACATTTCATCCATGCAAATGAGTTGAGTGGCTGTTGATCATAATTCAACCCACTACCAAACCCTATTTTCCTTTGGGACACCACCGAAACAGCAGCTGCTTTTCAGGACCTGCCTATTTTTAATTTTTTGTATCCCTTTTTGTGGGCTACACCTTGTCAATAATTTGTTTTTCGGTTTTGTACTTTCTGTAGGGAGTGTTACAACTGGTTTTGGTGTTTAAAATGGGGGTTAAAGGCAGTTATGTAAATTGGAATTCTAATATCTTTTATATTTAAATATGTAAACAGTTTAAATTTCTAAATGTTAAAGATAATTATTTTAACTTCAAAATGGGACAAGCTGATCTATGGGGTCTACTTAAGAAAAACCAAACGAAGTCGATTTCTGGTCTACCTTCCCTTACTCCATACATTGTTGTGGCTTGCGTGATTAATTGCCATGTTGGTTGCTATTATTTTGAGTCCTGCTGTTGCCATTTGTCTGCTAAAAAGGATGCAGCTTTCTCGGGACAAGGCCAATCCCAATCCGAAATAATTGCCGACTGATGGTGTCTGCGGCTATCCATCAACAGCTAACAGCTGCTGCAATCACGCAGTCTGCCGAGAAACGAGAAAAGCAAATATTAAAAACCACTTAGAGCGACGCGTGGCCAGCAATTAAAGTAAACACGGAGTATCGGTAAATCCTTTTTTGGCACTATGCCCTATAATTGCAATATGAGATGCCACTCGAGACCACAATATCCTTTTCTAGCCCCTGTTTTACTATTTATGTGTTTGAACTTAAATGGGAGTTGCCATGGCAAATCCCTTGCTTTCTGTGTCTGCGCATGCGCGACGAAAAGTGGCAGCTGTGAACTGTGCACCATGGAGTAGAATGAACGAATGAACGAATGACCCCCAGGTCGGCGACTTTGTAATCCTGCGGAAGTTGATTTTATCACGTGTGTCCATTAGTTACCTTTTGGTAACCTGAAGTCCAGCCGCTGAGTTCAAAGTTCAGCATCAAGACAGAAAGGAAACTGAACTACTCGAGGAAATGAAAAGGGTTTTATTGATATTGTTTTGAATTTTAGACATACGAACCCTTTTTGAACAGCTGCTGAATGAAACCTTTGGATACCTTTAAATAAATGTACACAACTTACTTATGATAATTTGTTTGTAACTTTTAACTTTAACTTAAATTAACTTAAAGTTAAAATATTATCTGTCAAAAAATAAGTAGAAAATAAATTAAAGAAAATAAGGTAAAATATACTTTGAAGTTAAATTAAAATTTTTAGGACACACAAACAACAAGCAATAAATAATTGCAAAATATTTTGGCATTACCATAATTGTTCAAAACATAATAAAACTTTAATAAAAACTGCGTTCGTGAAAACCAAAACTATAAACTCGGTATAGTCTTGGATTTTATAAAAAATTAATTAATTTAAAACTTTAGTTGCCATTGTTTTGTATAATGTAATAAAAGCTTTTGTGCAAACTATACTACCAAACTATTTCCTAAATGTTTATTTAAAATTGGAACTGTCAATTGCCCCAATCGAATGATACAAGATTAACAACTTAAGCCCCTTAAAATATGTTCCCAAATTAATCAACCTATCAAGTCAAGAAGAATGCTCTCCATTCACTTGAAAAAGCTGAATGATCTTGGAATAACCGGAGGCACAAATATTTCAAAGTGCAGTGCACTCTCAATAGCCGCTGACAGAATTCCCATCAATTGGAATCCCTTTCAAGTGTGTTTGTAACCTCGGAGGTTAGACCAAAAATGCCATCCGTCATTAATCTAATTTTTTCTATTTATGGCAAACGATTGATGGGCCAAGACCAAGTCGTCGCCGTCGACTTGACAATTGGCGTCTAATTATGCAATGGCATCCCGAAAAGCCGACCAGGAATGGGAACTTGTGAGCGCATCTGGCAGCCGGAATTAATTGGCCTGCCAAGATTCAAGTCTGACGATAAGACCCTCTGGCCGGAAAACTGTGGAAAATGATGATGATGAGCAGTCGGCACCGCTGTAAAAGTCAGAACTAATGGGTCGAGTCGACAAAAGTCAAATTACACTTCATTCAGGTTTGTTTTTCTATATTAATTTTGTGAAATGCAGAAGCCGATTAATAAGATGCGATACTATCTCAAGGATGAGGTGGTCTCGCACAACAAAAAGGACGACTGCTGGGTGATTATACACTCGAATGTCTTCGATCTAACGCCCATGCTGAGGGATCGCTTGGATCACTGGAATCGAGTGAGTGTTAGGTCCCTAATACTTTTTATACATAAATAATTAAAACGTCCTTTAGACCCTCGACTATTTAATAGCCCATGCTGGGAAGGACCTTACCCATTTCTTTCACGAGAATGGAGAGCCTCGCACGGAAATCTCACCCAGCACTGGACGACCACGTGTCCTCTTTCCGCCCATTTTGGAGGTAGCCATTTCGGAGTTCTCCAAAACACCGGGTGCCATGTGGAGCCAGGATCCCTTCTATCACATTGGCAGGGTCACAAAACGTCCACGAATTATAAGGATTATTAACACTCTGACCGCGCAGACGCAGTTTATGACCGTTTGCAATGAGGACAGCATCTTCGATATTCAGCAGAAGTACAAACAGCGGTACAATCACCATGCCGGCAGTTATGAGTGGCGAAAATTCTCGATTGGGGTAAGCTTAAGCTGATGTCGTTAGTACCCACAAAATTAGAGAAAGAAAACCAAATATTAGATACAAATTTATCAAGAGTCGACACACAATTGTTGTGTTAAAAGAATTTATTTTAATTTAATTTATTTTAAATGTTTTCCTAACACTAAAAGTATAGAATTAAAATTAAGATATGAATCAATTAATTCGGAAAACATAATGTGACTGGTGTAGTTTTAAAGCTTTTCCTTTCGCTACAAAAAAAAATAGTTGTTATAAAAAGTAAACTCTTCAACACTTGATTATAAATTGCTATAATAAAATTAAATTAAAATATGACTTAATTTATTCAGTGCTTTGTTACATTTTATAAAATAATAAATGTTATAAAATTATATATTATTAAAAATTAAAATTATCCTAACCAGGACAAGTCCTGCAGTGTGCTGGACCTGAATGGCACCCTGGACGAGAATGGACTTATGGATGACGAGGATAGCACCGTGGAACTACCGCCGCCTTCCATTTGGCTGTACTACACGGATGATATTACAATTGCCTAATTCTGGTTAAGTTTAATGGTTATTGGAAATTTGTTGTACTCTTTGGCTGCAAGTAAAGCTCATTTCAAGCAACACTGGAGTTGGCTGTTCGGGTAGTTTACAGACATTTTAGGCAATTTTCAACAAATGTCATGGTCGACAGCAGGCGGTAATAAGTCAAAAAAGTGCAGCAGACTTGTCCAGAGTCGCTATATATACAGCTGCAGTTAAAATAATAGTAGTAATAGAATTTAAAGTGCTCAAAAACATACAGTTAAGGCAAACATAGCCTTTTATTTATAATAATGCTTACTAACCAGTTAACACAACGAGGTTCAAAAAACCCTTGCTTTGTATTATTTTTTGAAGAGTAATGAAAATCGTAAATAATTCCTTTTCAATATTTAAACAAATATTTTATATCGTTTTTATCAATATTTTTTTAAAATATTTTAAACTTTTGTACCTTTGCTAAATTTGGGTTTTTATTTTTTCACGAGAATATATAAAATTCCACACTATTTTTTTTTTGCTGTTTCCATAATCTAAAAAATAACTATTATTATTATTTTCACCCCATCTGTACCTCCTATACCTCCTATATTGCTCCTGATCGCGGTTCTAATTTATGCGGGCCGGTGGAGCTGTGAACTCGTGTATGACGATATCGGGGTGTCTGTTTTTTTGAAGTTCTAGCAATTCCGAGTGGTACAGCGCCTGCAGCTGCCCAGTTGGCACGCGTTGTTTTCGTGGAGGGAGTGATCACTGTACCGTAAACTACGGCGTTTTTCAGCAGGCCAAGTTATGGTTCTTGGTTCTTGGTTCTTGGAAGTGTGCGCCCAGAAAACAGAGACGCCCACTTTACTTAAATCTCCACTGGGGGCTTCTCGTTGTTTTATCTTGAGCGCATAAATAATTAATTTCAGACTCATTTTGCTTAATAATTTTTTAGTTGTTTAATTGCAAACCTGTTTGCTACGCTGGCACTTTACGGGTATGGTATGGTATGGTATGGGCCAGGCCGGACCATAAATGGTCTGCGGCTGTGTTCTTAATTTACATTGCGACAAAAGAGGCTAAGAATCTGGCACTTGAACAATGTTGTGAAATATTTTAGTCGCCGAGTATGTGGGATTTTTGACAAGCCAAGGGGTTTGGCAGCAGAAGGTCGCCAATAAATGTGTGTGTTCATCTTGATCTGGAAAAAACAAACAAACAGACAGTCTAATTAACCTTAGGGAGTCGCAAATAACAACTGTCAAATAGGAAGTGGTTTAAAGAAAGACATTAAAGCCATTACTTTAATTTAAATGGTCTTTGCTGTCTTTAGTAAATTAAATAGTAAATAGTAAAATTTCTATGGAGCGGGCTGTAAAATATTTCTAATTGTTGTTTTTTTTAACTACCTATTTTAAATGACTATTAAAAAAATAGGCAGACAATCTAAGAAACCTCTTAGAAACATTACGAAAAATCAAATAAATATAAATGCTGCAAATGGTGAAACTCTGTGGAGAGGGTCTTAAAACAGTTTAAGTAATTACCTTATCGAACCCTTTAGATACTTTACGCAAAATGAAATAAATATTTCAGCATATATATTGGAGAGGGTTTCCAAATACTTGTAATAGTTGCATATTTTTTATGTACCTAATTCAAAAATCTAATTTCATACCTTCCAGCCAATCTATTTCCAGTAGTTGACTATTATTGAAGAAACTTTAAATAACCACCACAAGATTGCCAATATGTATCCTAATCTAAAATCATCCAGACAATCAATAAACCTGTTAAGGACATTGAAATAACTTAAGGGAATCGAAAGGAGCCCAAAGACAGACCCAAATTAAATCTGCCAAATCGAATTGAGACCTAAGAACGTCTGAGCCAATATATGCAGAATCTTGTGAAATTCTCCTACCTGTTCAGTTTTGAAAATCTCGGTGCCTGGCACCGCTTGGCCCCTTGATTGGATGACTCACCCGAGACTGTGTGTGAACACGTTTGCGCCTGTCAAGGCCTGAGAAAAAGGAGCAATATCGAACATTGGGAACCTGCCGCGGTCTGCAATCTTTGTAAATGGTGGAAAGAGGGGGCCAGGCATTCAATGCCTAGAAGCCTTCAAATCCGCTGCACTGGCCTGACTATATGGAATTGTGTTTATCGTTTGGCCAAACCTGTTTTGGCATACCACCTCCACTTGCTCACCCCCTTGGGCAAGTTCGTTGCCTAAGTCTTTTGTTCGAAGCGCCACAGAGTTCATTGCCTGCATAGGTAAACAAAGTGCATTTGTGTATTAAGCCATATTTGTCGACTTAGGTAGGTGGTCATGAGGCCAGGCAACATGCGAGTACAACTAATCTACAATTTTTTGTTAAACGATTTAATTCGATTTTTGCATCAAAACAAAATATATTTTTCCCAATCTTTTTGATGGATAGTATAGGTTGCTAGCTTTACAAAACAGTAACATTTATGACTATGTCTTTTATTTTGGCCAAGTTACAACAAAAAAACAAATATGAAATGTTTATTTTTCACATATCTCAAAAAACCCAAAAAAAAGCATTTTAAAATCGGGTTTTGTATCAAGACCCAGGGATATATTGGTCAATAGTTGGAATGTCATACATCGTTGGATTCGTCATAAAAATTCCAATCGAATGGCATTTACAGCTAAAATGAGGATGTAACCCCTTATATAAAATGCGAAAATTGGCCAAATCTTTGGATATATTTAATTTTCTTTATAGCTAAGTTGTGAGTACTTATGCATACATATATAATAAAAACTTTACTTAAATAAGTGCCTGGAAATAAATTAAATAGGTTTAACGGATTTAGTGACATTTCGTCGGGTCGTAACATTAAAGGCCATGTTATCGTCAGGCATTCCTTGAAAGCCACCGGAACCACCTTGTGGGCATTCGACATCACCCACAGTGGTGTTGAGCATGTAACCCAGTTCGCTGGCTGCTCCGGCATCCCATTCCCAGCTATTCACCTGGCTTGGTAAATCTGAATTCCATTCCGTCGCATTCTTTCCCATCTGCCAAACAGACAGTAAGACAGGCGGAAGTCGAGGCTCTGGTATGCGAGCATTCTTCTACTCCGGCATCTTTCCTCCAGCGATATTCCCAAGCTAATTTAGTGCTTAGCTCGACATAAACTGTGTGCTGTTCCTGTGTGTTGTTCGGTGTGTTAATTGCGCAGATGAGCTTAGAAATAGAAAGCCAGATATATATTTTGGCTAGAAGGTCAACTCGCGGTCGGTCTCAGTCCCAACACATTTCCAAAAGGAAGTGGCTTCAAAACTTTTGAACGCCTCCAAATTTGGGTGGCGTAGATCCAACATCCGTTATGGCTCAATTTCATTTACTTTTACTGTTTTTAATTCTTAATTGCCTGGGTCTGGGCTACCCCTTATGATTCCCCCCCTTTTTGATTTGCATTTGGCATACAAAACATTGACCGCTGCACTCGGCACTTTGCATTCCACAGCAAACAGCCACGGCAAATTAAATAATAAATTTACGAAGGAAAAACAAAGAGTATGCGACAATAAATAGCGGAACCAAATTAGGAAGTGGCCAACCCAACTCCTTATTCGTGGGCTCACTGTACCTCACCAGTTGTCTTAGGCATATTAATTGTGATAAAAGTGGCTTCTTGACTGAGTTTTGCTTAGAGACTTTAGGCTTTAGCTTACAGCTAAGTTCTATAAAATATATAAAATAGTATTAATTTAAGCGTAACATTCAACAACAAAGATAAATAATCATTTATACGCCTTAAAAACTAGTCTGTTTTTTGCACAAGTTTATTTGTATAAGTCTTTCATACTGAATTTTAAAAATTTATTAGCTTTGATTATAAGCCTGCGGTCTATAGTTATTTTGTATAAATAAATTACATTTTTCCTAATTTATTTGATGATTTTTGAATAAATTTTAATATCTTCAAAGATATATTTAATTTAAATCATATAAAATTGAAAAACAATGATTTGAAAACAAAAATATACTTCAAATAGTGATACAATTTTTGAGTTCCAAAAACTGAAATCTCAATTTTCTGTTTCCCATTTAAAATTTGTTTTATCGATTGCTTAAATGGTAGAATAAAGTGTGAGAATAATAATTGTAAGTCTCTCCCTTCAAATTGATATGCCACTTTTGCACCTCCACGGGTCTCATCGGTGATTTTTCATAAATTATTCAAAGCCTAACTGCTTCCGTTTTGGACTGGAGTGTCGGTCTTTCAGTCTTTCTGTCAGCCAGTCACTATAGTGACTGCTGTGATATGTGTCTTTTGTGGATGGAACTCGCTGGCAGATTGACAGGGTTCGATGGGACTTTGGGTGCCCAGTGGGTCAGCGGGGAGTGCTGCACTTTCTTGTGGTTTTTTTTTATGGCAGCCCAGCAGCTGCTCGTATAAATATCCATCGCCAATAAGAACTGCGAGCTTATTTTACATTTTATTGTATAATTTTCGGATGTGGTTGGAGCAGAGCAGAGAAAAAAAACAAGACTGACTGGCATAAATTAACGCGTGCAACTAAATGAAAATAAATAAATTTCGTATTTACATTGAGGTGTATTCTGGGTTCCGCTCGGTTGCCCACCAGGAATGTCGCAAAGATCGGTAGACAATGGGGCGGTTTTTCCTTTTTTCTGGTTTCAGTTCGCAGAGCTATGCAAATCGAATGGCTGATGGTAAAGGGGTTAAGGCTCGGTCAGACCTCAATTTATGGTTATTAACACAATATTTGTTGTCGCTCCCTGCTTAATTAGCAGGCGAGGCTTCTTCTGGGAAACGGAATCAAATGGTTCCCATGCAAATCGCCTGGCTAAAAATCAATTAAAAGCGCACGTGACGTTCAACTACCCACATCTCTATCGTTTTCCGCCTGCTTGTCATTCTACTTTCACTGATAAAAAAAGGAATAGTAAAAATAAATGTTTGGCAATGGAATTTAAAATATTTTTTATGTTTTTTTATAATATTTTAATTTATAACACAATGCTTTTAAAATTGCAAGATTTAATATTTATGTATTTTAATTAATGTGCAAAATTAATTGAATGTATTAA